CCAGAGTTTTCCTTTCTGCAAATTATCCTGTGACTGCCTGGGAAATTCCAGAGAATGTTAACAGAAAGTTCCCTCAGTGATGAACATATTTCCCCAGGGATAAGAGTAGGAAATGTCATGTACTGTGAGACAAAGCCTTGTAGCAACCATCTCCAAAGGACAGAGCTTTACTAACACCTCCACCCAGCCAACAAAGAGCACATTTTAAAATATTCCTTAAGATAGAAAAGTCTTCTGTTAGGGGAACTTGGAGCTCTGCGAGTGATTACATTGTGTCTTGAGGATATGCTCTTCATTCAGACGGATTTTTTTTCTCCGAAATTGGAAAAGAAATAAGGACAAGTAAAGGGGGGAAAGGATAAAGGATAAGGACCACACTTTTAAACCCATTRCCTGGAAACACAATTTATACAGGACCAAGACAGTGAGAATGGAAGGGGCAGAAGGAGAAAGATGCTGGCGCGCTAACGAAAAGCCACGTTGGGGCGTTCCTTCATGTTTCATGGAGCGCAGGTCGTGGTTTTAACGCCGTTTCCTGAGGACAGGCTGTGGTTTCGCAGTGACACCCTCCTCGGAGCAGACGAAGGCTGACCCGGGGACCGGGACTCCCAATCCCCCATCCCCTCCCGGTTACCGGCCGCGGGCCGCCCTSCCAGGCCTCCGCTTTGATTACCTGCGTTGACATGGTAACGCCGCCTCACCGCTCGCCGCCGCCGCACGGGCGGCCAGGGCGGCCTCGGGGCGCTGCCGAAGGATGGCACCGGCTCTCAGCGCGCACCTCTCCTCCTCCTCCTCCGCCGCCTCCTCCTCCCCGTCACCGAGCGATCCCCGGCCGCACCGCCGAGCCCCGGSCGCTGCGGTTCCTTTAAGGGCGCTCCCTGAGGGGCCGCCCCGCCGCCATTTTGTCCGCTCGGTGGCGGCAGAGGATGAGGCGGAGGGGGCGTGGCTTTGCMGAGGCCCCGCCCCCGCGCTTTTCCCGCCTCCGAAGCCCCGCCCCCCGCCTCGCCTTTTTATTGCCGCCTCCCCTCAGCGCCTCAGGMCGGGCTCTCAGGTGTTTGTGGTAATAGAGGCTGAAATCGCTGCATAAACAATTAAACCTTGAGGGATTTTGGTCTGTTTAAAGTCGCTGTGTAAAGCTGCTGATWGGATTTTTTTCCTTATCTGTCTTTTGTGTGGGTGGCACGTTAGCATGCTAGTGCACAATGGTGTATAAACAGGCTTTATTTTGTCATGTTCGAAGTACATGATTAATTTATAAATATAAACTCGGTGTGTCCGGTCTAAATCACTGTCATTTTTACAGAGGCGTGTAAATCTCCTTTTAGCACTTTTGGGCTGTGTTAATTCAATATCTGTAACTGAAATGCAAGGTTGAAAAATCAGTAGGCTGTGTCTGTGAGAAATGTGGGAAAGGAGTGCAATTAGATTAAAAAACCATTTCAAAGTATTGTTGGACTTTTAAAGTATTTCACGGTGCTCTTCACTGTTTCCACCTTATCGTTTCCATACTACACTTCTTGGTATTTAATAATAGGTATTTTGGTCACTCATTTTAATGCCTTGTAAGATTTTATTCTATTTTTTCTCCCTGTCTGGTTCATTGCACTTGGTGAGACATTGACCTTACTGTAATTTCATTTTATATCAATAAGAAACTGTTTTGTAAATGCTTTTCCCGTAAAGGTTGACCTCAATATTTGTTTGAACTTCAGCATTCTTGCACAACTTTGTTTAACTTTACACAAACTTATTTATTGAGGTGCTATCCTAGGTACCAGGCCTTCAAAGGTTTTATTAGCATTAGTTGTGGGGGCTTTTTTGCAAACTTTTTAATTTTTTTTTTTCAAAATGCTGTTTAAAATAGTGCATGCTGATATATCTTGCCCTAGTATTTTCATATTGCAGTTTTTATTTGTAATGGGAGCAGTCAGAAAGTTGGCATTGTCTGGGATACAAATATTTCAAAACTACGAAAAAACAATGCTGGTCCAAAGGCATCCACACATTGTTTGATATAACTCAAATGTTTTTTTCCTTCAGACACAAAATTAAAATCGCTTTGATTTAAAAAAAATGTTTTATTAAGCATAAACTGAATCTATTTTTTTKTTTRTTTGGCTTTTTTCTACCTCTAAAAATTATTTTATTAATTCATTTGTTTGAGAGAAAGTGAGGACTGACACATGATTGCTCTGGACATATTAAAAATTGAAATCCTAAATTAAAAAATTCCTAAGTTTAGCAATTCTGGCATCCTTAGGAGGGGGCAATAATGCTTTAGTAAAGAATGATCTGCAGTTAATTATTAACTGTGAGTGAAATACGTTGGTTCTGCTCACCCACAGCTGAGGCTGTTCAACCCAGCCTCGCTWACATCTATGGTTTGCTGCTGTCCCAGACACAATGTCTATTTTAATATCTTTAATTGTTTTGCTGTTTTCTGGAACGACTTTTTGCCAAGAGAAAACGTAAGTAAAAGCAAATGCAGAATTTACTGGAAATGTTACTTGCTTGTTGTCCCCTCTATTGGGTAAGTAGATGCAGAATTTAAGTAGAGCCAATACAAAGGGCAGTCTCCAAATAGGATTTTAATTAGGATCTTACAACAACCTGATTATCCTGTTTGCTTTAATGGTGTTTACATGGCTGAATTACAAAGGAAAGAAAGAAATCCAAAAGAAATCCAATTGTAATTTTATTGTTTTGTATTCCATGTACAGGTATGTCCTCACAGCACCAAARATCTTCCGAGCTGGGTCCCCAGCGAAAGTTGTAGTTCAAGCATTTGGTTACGATGAGCAATTTCAAGTCAAAGTTGCCCTAAAGAGCTTTCCAGATAAACGTACTGTGTATTCAGATGGTTTGATTTCCTTAACTCCTGCCAACAAATTCCAAGATGCTACAACTTTAACAGTAAGGAATTCAGRCTTTTCATCCAGTCCTTTTGTTAGCATTTAGTGATAAGTGTTGGGAAAGGTTGTGTAAGTTTTCAGTTGTTTAAACTGGGGAGGGAAGCCTAATGACCCAATTTTTGGTGTGAAATTAAAATTATGGAGTGTAAAATCAGTGTAAAGGAATGACACTGAATTAAAAGCATAGAATCAAATTGTTCTAAAAGCAAACCATCGTTGCATAACTTTAAAAAATAAAGAGAAATAATCAAATCAAAGTACCAGCCACAGCAGCAGATTTGTTGKGGCCGAGATTCATCATGTGCATAAATGGAAATCTGATAACATGTGCAGTTGTAGTCTCATAACTTTGAACTTTGCTGGTTTAGTTCTGGRCATAAATAAAATGCAAAATTGCAAAATATCTGTAGCTTAATGCTACAGACCATCATCTATCACATAAGCAGGAATAAAACCATGTGAGTGTGGATATTTTTATTTAATGGTACTTAACCCCAGGATGGTGATTACTTCTCAGATACYCTTTTCATCAAAAAATACAGTAGGAAAAAACACGTGAAAAATATTTCAATAATCTTTTAAAACCTTTATTTCATCTCCCCCAGGTTCAACCAACAGATTTACCAAGAACAGATAATTCAGACAAATAYGTGTATTTGGAAGCTGTTTCTCCACACTTTACAAGATTTAAGAAAGTTCCTGTTTCCTATGAGAATGGGTTTCTTTTTATTCATACGGACAAACCAATTTATACTCCTGATCAATCAGGTGAATAATGCTTATTTCTTTTGGCTGGTRTTTAAAGTCTGCTGCCTCTGCCAAAGAATTAGGATCTAAATGTTCTTTCAGCTCTTGGTTGTGTTGCTGATGTTTAATGCTTKAATCAGCAGAATAATATTTTGAACTATTTGATCATACTCGGATAATTTCTCCCTGCTCTTCTCGACCTAAATGACTAATTTGTGGCACAAAGAGTGAAAGATTTTCCTGAGAATTTGTTAAAAATGTTAGTGAAATTTTGGCTGGCTTGACTTTGAGATTTACTGCTATAATTCTTACAGTGAAAATCAGAGTTTACTCTCTGAATGAGGAACTGAAGCAAGCTCTGAGAGAGATTGTCCTAACTTTTGTGGTGAGTTGTAATTGAATTTAATATTCATATTCTGTAAATGTAATAACAAAGGTGGGTAGGAAGATGGGAAACCAGTATTGCAATCTGTGTTTAATATGACTCTTAGATGTTTTTKCAGGTAGCCAGACATCCTTTAAAAGATGTAAAATTGGCTTTGCGCAGTTGTATAGAGGTTTTTGAGTCCCACATCTGAAGTTGCTATAGACTAGGAAAAAAAAAAAGAAAAAAATCTTTAATATCTGGGGAAAGCATTTTTGAGGGAGTTTTAATAATATATGGCTTTTATACTATTTGCTTAATTTAAGATAAAAAAAAATCAGTATCTACTGTGTATTTAGCCTTTAACAACTGGCTGTTTATTACAGTAATTTTTTAGCTATTTTAAACACAGCTTTTRCTTGCTGGAACCAGAGGAAAAGCTTTTATCCTAATTTCAGTCTGAGATACTTCTACAAGTGTTTGTGGTTTTAAACTCTGAAACTCTTTAGAAAAATCTGTTATGGCCAGACTGTCGCTGAAATCACAGGATAAAGTTTCCTCTTTTGATAAGAACAATCTGTAACTGCTCATTCTTTCCTCTTATCATTTAAAGGATCCTGAAGAGGTAGAAGTGGATATTATGGAAGAAAAGGATTTTACTGGAATAGTTTCTTTTCCTGACTTCAAGATTCCTTCTAATCCTAAGTAGATTTATTTAATACTTTTTTTCCCTGTGAATTATTAACATAAAAATGCCTTTTTTAATTATTGTCATAGAGTGGTTTTGCATGATGGGCATGACTTGAAACTTGGAGATTTCTAACATTTCACATAAAGTGCCACTGTGATATAAATAAGGACCTTATGACAGAGTGTTTGCTTTAAAGAGAAGTTACTGATATGTTTTTCATGCTCAGTTAAAAAGAAACATTAATGACAATTAAAGCTTTCTACTGTAGAGATCTAAACAGCATGAAAGGTGTGTTGATTTCAACATGGGGAAAGTTTCATATTTCATCCATCTATTGATACAAATCGCATTTTCCACGAACAGCAGCATAAAAAATAAATACCTCTTCAGTTCTCCTTTTAGTCTTGAGAGGGTGCTGAAGCATTGTTGAGAAGGCAGAAGGATGAGAGCAAGGGCTTGAGAAACTGGTTTATAACTGATTTTATTTTCTGTTTTATTTCAATGCTTTAACATAAGTTCCATTAATTAGTGATATATCAAAGGGGATCTGCTCCAAGTAGGCATTGAAGATGTGTAAAAATTTGATGCAGTATTGTCCTCTATAAAAGACTATTACCATGAAATATTATTAAGCAGTAATAATAATTTTTGCCTTTAACATTAGTTTTCTTCTTAAAAACTGTTTGATTGTTGACATTTCACAGATATGGAGTTTGGAAGATTAAAGCCAAGTATAAGAAGGATTTTGTAACCTCTGCTGAGGCAAAATTTGAAGTTAAGGAATATGGTAAGATGTACCCATACTGTGAACCTGCATTTTTAGTATTTTCAGTAACTCAAACCCCTTGAAATGGCCACARTTCTTCAGTGGCTGAGTACCTGTGGCTTCATGGATAAAACACACTCAAGTGATGTTTTTTTCTACTCAATTTTCAGCACTGCCAAGCTTTTCAATTGTCATCGAGCCGGAGCATAACTATATTAGTTCAGATACATTTGAGAAGTTCAGGATTGTGGTGAAAGCCAGGTAAGGAAATTTGGCTTGGAGTACTGAATATTTTGTATCTCTTCTTCTTTTACCTGAAAATGATTCTCCTCAGTCCAGAATTTTCCTCTTTTCCTCAAGCAACCCTTCCATGAAAGTTTTTTCTGCTCTGTAAGAGATCTCAGTGACCCTTCTAAAATTCTTCCAAAGTGCTTATTTTTCAACAACAGTCTTTAAAATACACAGACATTTGTTTTCCATCTCTTACCTAGGCAATTACTCTTGAAAAACAAATGCTTTGTTGCAGCCATTAAAGTAATYTTGAAAGCATTGATATCGTTTTATTCTCAGCTATTTTTACAACAAAAAGCTTCCGAGTGCTGAGGTTTTTCTTCGTTTTGGGATAATTGAAGAAAGTGAGAAAAGAATGATGCCTCAGGCACTACTTGTAACGAGGGTAAGAAGCAGCAAGTCAAGTTTGTGTAGAATTCACATGCATAATTCAGGACTGATCCAACTCCACTGAAGTTTTTCCATTAAATTTGTTGAGAATGGGCCTCAAGTCCTAAATTGTGTCCTCAGCTCCCCAGTGTGAACTTTTCCTGTGTAACGCTGTCATCAGGGGCAGAGAAATGCACTTGGAAATGAAACTTAAAAGGCAACATCTGAGACAATGTCATTTCAATCTGGTTTAATTACTCTCTTGGCCAAACTGTGTGATTACAATTCCTATGAAATAACTTAATTGCTATCTATTAGAGAATAAAAGAAATCAAATAGAGACAATCAGATCAACGTTACATTGATTTACTGTGGGGAGTCTGTTCTCCACTAATTATCCCCTTCTCTCATGGAGTGAAGATATCTCTGTGTTATCCTTACCTCTTGCTGAGCCTGCATACAAACTTTGCAATATGTGCCATTGGTTGATTAATTTAAAATGGTTCTAGGRAATAAAGAATTCTTTATTAAAACATCTTCACCTTTGATTTGCTCTGAAAATACAYAATGAACAGAAACATGTTGAATCTGCATACAGCCTAACTATGTATTATTTCTAAATTATTGACTATAAAGTGATGATTTCTATTTCATTTCCAGATGGAAAATGGAGTTGCTGAGTTCTATTTTAACAGTRAGAGAGCAGCACGTTCTATAGGGTTTGACAGTCTGGAAGCATTGGATGGGTCATATTTATATATTGTGGCGTCAGTGTTGGAGTCTACRGGTAAGTTGCTTTTTCATTRAAATTTTTCTTATCACTTCTGCAAGTGTGAACAGARCTAGAAAAGACATTTACATGGATAACTTTCCTAATAGCAAACTTTCTGTGATATTCAGAAGTTCTTCTTCCAAAAATGTGTAAGGAAGAAAAGCCCATTCTCTAATTTCATTAGAGATTAAACTTATTTTTGGCTATTTGTTACGTGGGGTACCATGTTTTGTTAGGTGGCCTCAGTGGTGAAGTGGAGTTTGCTGGAGTCAGGTTTGCTGTCTCTCCTTACAAGCTGAGTTTGGTTGCTACTCCACTCTTTGTGAAGCCTGGACTTCCCTACTTCATTAAGGTCAGTTCCCAGGAGCGGGGTGGTTGCAACTCCAGCCTCATAATATCCAAGCTTTGTTATTTCCTCTCTCTGTCACTGTACGTCTGAACACACTTCCAATTTCCATTGACTGTTGTAGAAGCAGCTGAGCAGCTTGGATACTTCYTCCTTTAAAATATCACCCATTCTTTATTCTGCTGAACAGGTGCAGGTGAAAGACACCATGGGTCAATTTGTAAGAAATGTCCCTGTAMTTGTCACTGCAAAATCATATGATGAGCAAATGGATGAGTCTGAGTTGATATCAGAGGATTCAGAGGATGGGAGAAGAGAAACAAGCATCAGTGATGGAACTGCTTTGTTTGTTGCTAATATCCCAAGAAACAGCAAAATGTTGGAGTTTCAAGTGAGTTAAATTGTTTTGTTAAATTATTTTTTCAAGGGTATAATTATTTATTYGAGAGTACGTTCTTGAGCTGGCTTTTGTTTTATTACTCCCTCTGAACAACATATTGCAGAATGATTTTAGTATTGTCATTTCGTGTTTACTCAGGTATAATTCCATGCTCAAACCCTTCAGACATTTTATTACCTTTCCAGGTAAAAACTGYAGATCCACATCTTTCAGATGAAAGCCAAGCAAGTAAAACCTATGAAGCAAGAGCTTATTCATCACTGAGTCAGAGTTATCTCTATATTGACTGGGCTTCAAACCACAAGACCCTGGAAGTAGGGGATGTTATACATGTTAATGTTTATCCCCAGAGTCACTACATTGATAAAATACATCACTACAGCTACTTGGTAAGTAACAGATGGTTTTGCATAAAATATTGAATTGCAATTTCATATATATGGTCATGGATTAGAAAACCTCAACAATCAAGAATTATCCTCAGCATAGAATATGTGCAGCTCAAAAAATTGCTTCCCTTCAGATACAATCTGTCAGCTTTATAGGAAGAAAACCAAGTCTCATGTTTAAATTATATATTAAGTCCATTTTTTTGATCTCTTATCTGACATTGACTGGGACTGAGAACAAGTAGTGCTAGTCTCAAGAGCTACTTCAAAAGGTTTAATGTAGATGAAGGAAAAGAAGTGCACAGACAGCATTTCTTTTTACTGGAAGATATCAATTCAAATAATTATTACATGTGAAAAATAGACTGAATATAAAATTTGACTTTTTTATTCTCCATCATTTTTACTATAGATCACATCAAAAGGGAAGATAGTAAGCTTTGGAACGCAGAAGAGAATTAAGGATTTGGAATACGAACATGTAACTTTTCAGATAACCCAAGACATGGTTCCTTCAGCACGTCTTATTGTTTACTACATAGTCATGGGAGAAGGAGCTGCAGAGTTAGTGGCTGATTCAGTTTGGCTGAATGTGGAACAGAAATGTGGGAATAGCCTTGATGTGAGTAGCAAAATAGGCCCTGAAATTTGTGGGYGTGCTTTCATTTTATGACCAGGTTTTATCTTGGACTTACACAAGTTCTTTAACACTTAACTTGTAATAAGTGTCTGCCTTCAGCTGGTTTGATTTCAGATCAATGTGCTTTAAAAATTATTGATATTTGTTTTCAATTTATAGATTAAGCTGCAGTCAGGGGAAAGGCCRCTGAAGCCAGCAGAGGTTGTATCACTCACCATGACAACCCAGTTCAGCTCCTTTGTTGCTTTGTCATCTCTTGACAAGGCAATATATGGAGTCACAGGAAGAAGGAAGAGAGCAATGGACAAGGTGAGGTAGCAGCCATAAAARAAAATCAAGTGGCTCTTTGTTTCATGTTCACAGTCAGTTACTGGCACGTGCCATGCACTCACTGCCTGAAAATGGGCAGAAGACAATTCAAGCCAGAATGAAAGCTGTTGGTTTAAATCTGCASTTCAAAATTATTGAAGGAAAAACTGTTAAAAGAATTAATTTACTATCTTTTGATTGCCAGTAGATGTAAATTGTGGTTTTAAAGGCAGATTGGAACTGTCTTATCAGAACTCCACAGACTTGGCCAAAACCAGGTTGCTCAAGGAGCCATGGAGATGATGATCTCCTTCTTTATTTTTCCCATAACCTTCCCAGGTTATGTTTTGAAGGCTTTCTGGTAGCATGGCATGTGTGTTCTTCCTCAGATACTGCTGCAGTTGGAAAAGAGTGACCTTGGGTGTGGGGCYGGAGGAGGACAGAACAACGTCGCCGTGTTCCGAATGGCCGGGCTCACCTTTCTGACCAATGCAAACGCTGATGACTCCAATGAAGCAGGTACATTCCTTCGGTTCAGCCATGGAATTGTGGGGTTTATTTTCAGAAATACTCTGTTGTCATTCTCAGTTATCATGCTRGAACTCAAGGGAGTGCATAAACATGATTTTTCAAGGAGGAAAACATCTTGTGGATCAGTTGCGGTAATTGAAATGAAAATACTTTTATGTGATTAAAATAGCAAACAGAAAAGGTTTTGTGCATTTAGAATGTGATTTTATGTAATTATTTTTAAGASGACAATGCTATTACAAAGGAAGTTCATGTCTGTATTTATTTACTTTTTGGACAGGTGAACCTTGCCAKGAAGTGTTAAGAACCAAGCGGTCTGACTTCAGAGAAAAGATACAGAAAAAAGGTGCTAAAATATTTTAAAGTACATAATTATGAACGAAAATCACATCCATTAGAAATCAAGAATCTGAGTGTTTGCTTACTAATTTTAATGTATTTTAGAGAGACTGACAAATACAGAAGATGACTTTAGTGAGAACCCCATTTCTAAAGCCTTTCAGGATTGAAGTGCACCTTAAAAGTACAGCACATATTTAAGATTTGAGCAACCTGGGCTAGTGGAAGCTGTCCCTGCCCATGGGAGCAGGSGGAATGAGAATGAGATGATCTTTAAGCTCCCTTCCAACTCAAATCTGTGATTCTGTGATCTTTTCATTTTCTGAAGAGATATAATTGAAAACTATCCMATGGCAGTCTTTCCCAGTCACCAAATGCCAGAGCAAGCTTGTCAGAAGAGCCTTTGACTGATAAATCTGAAAATGTAATACAACTCTTTTGAGCTAAATTATATTTTTAATTCAGAACAGTAATTATTAAGCATGTGTCACTAGCTTTTGAAAAATAACAAGTTCATCCTCAAAAATGATTCTTCACTGTAATCCTGTATACAAGTCAAGGAGAATTTGGAAATAAAAACATCATCTCAAGGAAGCGAATTATTTTGGTTTTATTTCAGTATTCAAATACCGAGATCCAGAAGTCCGGAAATGCTGCATGGCTGGAGTTAAAGAATATCCAATCTCTGAGACCTGCAACGACAGAGCTAAGAGAATTCCGAAGAGCCAAAAGTGCATTTCTGCATTTGAAGATTGCTGTGAATTTGCCAACACGCTGCGGCGGGAAGAGCCACATAAACTCCTCATGTTGGCCAGAATGCGTGAGTATGAGAGCTCTGGGTGTCCTGAACAGGGGAAAGAGAGGTGATGGAGCCTATTAACCCCTCCTTGTGCCTACCAGGGTTATTCCACACAGAAGTTTACCMGTCTTCCAAGACTGTGGTTGTGGATCCCTGAAGAGGGGTAGGAGAGCAGTTCTTTATTCTGTTCAGCTCTCTATTCCATGCGCCTGCATTTAGAACAAGCAGAGCAGCAATTACATAGTATTAACAGTAAATTTGAATGCTATGAGTAAATTTGAATCCTTTGCCCAGGCCCAAAGCAGCCAATGGGCAACATCTCAGGAAAGATCAGTGGGAGTGTCTAATTCCTTGTCTTCCATTATCTCCCTATAATTGCTTGTTAACAAGTTAATCTGTCAGGATATGGGACAAGTTTTCACATGTGCAAATGGATGAGGTGGCATTAACACAGATCTTTGACTGAGGATATTCAGATACCTTTTTCCTTATATTTTTTTTTTTATTTGCCTTATTTATGTTCTTCAGATTTTGAGTCTGTATTGGACCTGGATGAGGCACAAGTTCGTAGCTACTTCCCTGAAAGCTGGTTATGGGAAGTTCACGAAGTTCCTCCAAAGCGTGTGGTTCCTCATATAACCCTGCGAAATGTCTTAAGGTAAAACTGAAGTAAACAGGGTAATTAACCTTAGCTGCAGCTGAGGTGTGTGCTGAAATGGAGTCTTACCCAAGCAAACTATTTCTGCCATGTTCCCTCCATGTTCTGTGCGTTRTATGTTGCCCTGATTGTTGAGTCACTTCTCCTTTCACTTCATACCTTGCTWAAGTGAAATCGGATAAAACCAGGCTGATTCAAATGAAAATCTAGAATTCCTCTTTGCTGGCCACTCTCTCAGCTTCCCCGAGTGTCTCTTGGATGCAGGAGTTGCTGTGGTGAGATGTGCTGTTAACAGATGGTGRCTGGTAAATGTGACAACACTTTTAACACAGGTCCAAGACTCTGTCTGTCACCTTGCCTGATTCACTGACTACCTGGGAAATACAAGSTGTTGGCATTTCTGATCAAGGTAGGTTGGAGATAAAGAACCAGGAAGCTTTGTGGACTCTCAGGAGTTTGACACTTATGTTCTAAAAATGTTCACTTTCTGGTTTTGAGGCAGAAAAAGGAAACAAAAATGTGTATTTTAGGGAAAGTAAATTATTCATGTCATGTTATGAGTGTCAGTGGCTGGGAAAGCAAAGCCTGTCTTGTGTATGACAGAGGCTTATGAGTGAGTAAAAAGGAAAGAAMCATTGAGTAATTCTTCTCTGGCACAACTTTATATTGTCCTGCTACCTGTAGCCCTGGGACTGGAGATTTTCCAACAGATTTGGTAGTCCAAGCATTGAACTTCTTTGGGAAAAAGAAACCCAGAGAATCTGGTATGTCAGCAGGGATTGTGAGGAGTGGGAGAGAACAGCTTGGATCAAGAAGCAGAAGCCTGGACTCTTTTAAAACCCTTGGGCAATTTCAAAGTACACCCTGAAAAATGTCAAGACCTTTTCAGATTTATCAGAACTGGGTTTTAATGGTTTTAATTCTCGCAGGTATTTGTGTTGCTACACCTCTGGAAATCCATGTTGTGAAGGATGTCTTCCTGAGCATTTATGTTCCTTATTCTGTGGTACGAGGGGAGCAAATTGAGTTAAAAGGATCCATTTATAACCATCAAACCTCTGCAATTCAGGTAATTTGTATTAATGAGTTCTATGGAAGGATTAACATAATATAGGAAAACAGCATTTTTCCTGGGAGTATCCAGTATAAACAGATCCTTGGATCAGATTTCTCCAGTCCTTAAGCTGGTGTTACGTATTGCAAACAGAAAACATTACAGTAATAGAAAGCTCAYTACAGGATTTCAGTGGCTTTGATATTTCTCTGATGTTGTATCTGCCATGAAAATGTAAAATTAAAATCTTTCCGCCTTCCAGTACTGTGTTAAAATAGCAGCTGGAAATGGAATCTGTACTTTTGGAGACTCTGCAAGTGCTGGATCGAGGACGCAGAGCTGTAAATTTAAGAAGCTGGATGGTGGTTCTTCCTCAGCAATTACATTCCAGATACTCCCGTTGGAACTGGGTCTTCACACTGTCAATTTTACACTGCTGACCCCTGGGAACAGTGAAATTGTWGTTAAAACTTTGCGTGTTGTGGTAAGTAAAGAATCGAAATGTTTTTAGCATTTTTGAATTTCAAATTGGGTTCAATTGAGTCAGTATAGAAATTTTGCTTTATTTTAATATTATCACATGATGTTCTTGAATTCACTGARGTGTGTGCAGTGGAAAAATGAATTAATATTCAAACACACACATTTAAGCCTTTATTATTATTTATATAAAAAGGTGGATTATAGATTTGTAAGCAAGGAAAATATTCTAAGTTTGGTTTTGATTATCACAGAAACACATTTTTGGGCTATTTTTTCCTTTCCTAATGTTTTATTTAAATATTTTGTTACATTTTCTCGAGAATTGTGTGAGCTAGAACATTAACTTAAATTCATGTATGGCAGCTGTACAACAGTTAAGTCCAACTCAACTACAGAAAAAGAAGTAGAAAGCAAATACACTGTGGGTTTTTGATTTATTTGATTAAGTAAAAGTGTTTCCATTTTCTGCCTCTTACATCGTAATGATTCCAGCCAGAAGGCATTAAGAGAGAACTTCATGAAGGTTTCACTTTGGATCCACAGGGTGTTTATGGTAAGGGAATTGATTATGTGTCTTCCTAATATTTTTTCGTGTTCTTGATTTGTGATGATCAAGTTTTTCCTAATGTGGAAATTCTCCTTCCTGAGATAATGTAAATATTTCCTTTCCCAAGGATTTCCTGCCCCTGGTTTAATAAAACRTGGATTAATACTTGGGTTATTTTCTTACAAGAAGCTTTATATGCATCTTATAGTGTGGTATGATAGTAAACTTTCCTCAGCAGCTGCTTTATTAATAGGAATAGAGCATGTTCTCATTTAAAGTAAGAAATCACAAAGTTTAGGTCCAGATCAGACATTTATTTGGTAATGAAAGAAAAATAAATGGTTTGCACCTGTTGATTTTCAAAGCTTTATGTAGTTTGCATGTGCATTTGGGAATAGTTTGGGTTTTCAAGGTTTGGTTGCTGAATTCTTGGGTAGATGTAACCTTAAATCTGGCAATTAAGCTGAATCATCTGTTGATTTCAGTTGTGCAATATGCTGKATATACATATCTACATCTTCAATTACAGGTTCATTCAAGAGACTACAAGAATTTCGATATAAAGTCCCACTAAATCTGGTCCCKAAAACAGAAATTGACAGAAGTGTCAGTGTAAAAGGTAAATTGAAACTTTCAGTGCACTGCAAACATACTTCCTTTATGTATGTCCTTTTCCTCCTATTTTGTATTAAATTCATCTAATTTATTCTTAGYTTCTTTTTCTTTTGAGAGAAGGCTTTGCAAGTCCCTGTTTTGTAGAAATTTAAGCACTTTGTAAAGAATGGTTGCTCATGAGAGTCAGTCACATTCTGCCCTTGAATTCGCTTTCATGCTGTCTTATTTMATTGAATCTTGAATTTTCTTTCCACAGGATATCTTATGGGTGAAGTGATAGCCACAGTCCTGAGTCCCAGTGGCCTGCAGATGCTGACCCATCTGCCCAGGGGCAGTGCAGAGGCTGAGTTCATGAGCATTGCCCCAGTATTTTAYGTGTTCCGCTACCTGGAGGAGTCAGATAACTGGCACATCCTGGGCCCTGAGACCTTGAAATCAAGAACTCAGATGAGGAGGAAAATGAAACAAGGTAGAAAAATCTACTGCTTCTCTTGCTTCAGGGTTCTAGAGGTGCTTAAATTCTGCTGAGTGAGAAAGGTGATACATCTGAGAGAGCAAATATAATTCTCATCATTTACTTTGGGCCCGATGTATCCCTTAGGAATTGTGAGCATCTTGTCGTTCAGGAATGCTGACCGCTCCTACAGCATGTGGAAGGATGGACAAGGGAGTACATGGTGAGTTAAAAGGTGATTTTGGTTGAAAAAAAAGCTTATTTCACTCCTTTGCTTTCATAATTTTAGCAAGAACCAGTCATGAGCATGATGGTAGATTTAAGCAGTCTACTGAATAATAAAAACTCCAAATAATATCTTTTGATTCCTTGCTTTCACTTGCCCAATCTTCTGTCCATGTCCATGATTCACACCATGACAACCAAGATGGGTTTGGGATGTAATGAGTTCGTACCTATGATCCTAGTTTAATTTTAAATTTAACTTCACAAGTGGGCAATAATTATTGAAATAATTTTAATCTCTATCATTTCTTGGAACCGTGGGAGTGTGTAGGATACAGAATCCTAAAGAGTGCAAGTTTGTGTCTGCCCTCTGCAGTGTGGGACTCCCTGCCAATCTAAACAAACAGRATCTGTTTGCTTTCCTTGGCAGGTTGACAGCTTTTGCTTTAAGGATTCTTGGACAAGTTCATCAATACATCAAGATTGATCAACTATCTCTTTGTGATTCCCTTCTGTGGCTGATTGATAGCTGTCAGATGCCAGATGGGTCATTCCATGAATTTTCCACCTACCAGCCAGTGAAACTACAGGTATGAAACCCAAACATTTTCTGTGCTTAGACAGCAAAAGCTGAAGGCACCAAGAGATACTGCAAGGTATTTAAAGCTGAATTTCATCAAAATACCCATACAATACAACTTTTCTCTTTATTCGATTAAAGCAGAGCACCATCTTGCAAACCCTTCTGTTTTCCCACATAGCCACTTCTCAGTGTTTAGAAAAAAAAATCTAGGTTCATTTTACAATATAATAGTCCTGGCTTGTCAATAACTTTATATTTTGGTCTCATTGTTTACAAATAAGCTATTACCTTMCAAACAGTCAATGTATTTTCAGGTTCAACTAAACTGGTATTTTTTACAGGAATTTCTATTTGCTTTTAGACCTAAACAGTCMAAAGTTCTATTTATTTGAATCAACTTTAATTCCTATTTAATTCTTTTCAATATTTKATTTTTGTAGGGTACATTACCCCGAGAAGCTAAAGAAAAATCTTTGTACCTCACAGCATTTTGTATTATTGGAATTGACAGGTCAATTAAAATATGTCCTACTCAGGTAAACAYTATTTTTATTTCTACCAGTGGGCATGTTCTGGGCTTCTAATTTCTTCCACTTTCTTTAACATTTGTTTAAAGAAATCAAGAGGGTTTTTTTCAGTTTCACAGATTTATTTGCTTTGTTAATCTTTGTCTTCAAAGTCACCAAAAGAACAACACGGAATTTCTGGATTTAGGATATCGTAGAAGACATTATATATCTCTACAGTCTTGATAGGGAAGATGTCTTTATCTAAAGGTTGGTGTGATGGGTGTAAGCTGTCACCTGTCCATCTTTGCAGAAAATCCAYGATGCCAAGAACAGAGCAGGTGATTATCTGGCACAGAACGTGAAGCAGGCTCAGAGCCCCTTCACCATGGCCATCACCTCGTACGCCCTGGCCCTGGTGGACCTGGACCAGCAGGCGGCACGGGAGGCGTTCTCAGCGCTCAAGAAGGAGGCCTATGTCATAGGTACTGTGCCAGCACTGTCCCCACATCCACCAGCTGCTCTGAATCACATCTGCTCATCACTTCACAGCCTAAACATCCCATTTTTAGCATAAAAGTGGATTTCCATCCCCTGTTGGGTGCAGAAGGAGCTCCTGCAGTCTCCCTGAGTAGCAGAGCTGCTGCTGTGCTTCCATCTGAGCCCTTTTCTCCTCCTGCAGGTGACCCTCCCATCTACAGGTTTTGGAAAGATGCTTTCAAAGCAGAAGATGACCCAAGCCCCAGCCCTAGCACTGCACAGATGGTTGAAACCACAGCCTATGCCCTGCTCACTACTTTGCTCAGAGGGGATGAAAACTATGCCACGCCCATGATCAAATGGCTCTCTGAAGAGCAAAGACATGGGGGAGGATTTTATTCCACRCAGGTGGGCTCTTAGATATTTTGTCTTTATTCTGCAAGTACCAAAATCTGAAACATTTTGCCYCATCCCTGGAGGTTCAAGGCCAGGTTGGGTGGAACTGAGCGACCTGGACTAGTGGAAGGTTTCCCTGCCCAGAGCAGGGTTGGAATGAGATGGGCTTTAACCAACCAAAAACCAGTCCATGGATCTGTGATATAAACATTTTAAGAGGATAATATAATTAAATGACCACACTGCCAACATCAGTGTCCTGGAATTAGTATTAAGTGTCTCCATTTCCACAATATTCTTGGTCTTTGGAAAATCTGACTTCCCTTCATTAAGTTATTGTGAACAGAAATTTTATAATAGGATCTCTGGAGTTAATTCTTTATAATTGATTTCTGACAGGACACTATTAATGCCATTGAGGCCTTGACTGAATATTCCCTTCTTGCCAAACGACTGCATTTGGACATGGATGTTAAAGTATCCTACAAAAACAATGGACCCTTAAAATTATTTAAACTGACAGAAGACCATTTCGTGGGAAGAGTTATTGAAGTGAGTGAATAATACTGCTTTTAAAAGGAAAACCAGAATTCCTAGCATCTTGGTAAATAATTATTTGAGCTTTGAAATAGCTGCTAAAGTAGCCTTTTCTTATCACAGATTGGTCCTAATTTGGTATAGAAAATGTTTAAGGACTTTGTTTATCTGCTATATTTAATATATTTGAACATTCACTTACATTTAATATTTCAACAGAATCTGTTACTTATTTGCAATGTGAACAGATCATCTGACATGAATTGTTGCTAATTGTTGATAATGTTGATTATGTATTAATAATAATTAATACATAACTTCTTGTTTCTCACCAATCCTTCAGGCACCTTTGCATGATAACCTGTTTGTAAGCACTGGCAGCAGCACTGGYATAGCTACAGTCAATGTGAGTATACAGCCAGGTTTCCTAAATGGAATTTCTAGTTTTCTTAATATTGCTGTGGTTTTGCTCAAGAACTCTCCATTTTCTTTCTGTGCTGACCATTTATTTGCTGATATTTTTATATTACCAATGAACCAGACTTGTTTATATTCTTCCCAGTGTGAGTTTTTACAGTTTTATGCCAGYTTTGAGGCTTGTTTAATGCTGCTTCTGTTTTGTCTGATTTATTTGTACATGTGCAGGTGAGGACAGTGTATAACACCATTGGTACTTCTGAAGAGTCCTGTAACTTTGAACTGAAGATTGTTCCAAAAAGAGATCTTGGTAAAGGRTTAATATAATTTTAAATGTTGCTACTCAGGTCAGTGCAAGGGAGGGAGGGGAAAAAAAATCCTTGCTTTTCCTATGAGTGTTTTTTATTAAAAAAGAAATAAGTTCTGCCACTTCCTAAATGAAAAACCAGAAAATAAATTGCTAAAAGCTTTTTTTGGCCCTGTTTGAAACTATGGCCTTTTTGTGAATAAAATTAATATTAAATTTATTTCTGTTAGGCGCATTTTTAGTAATTTTTGGACGAGTTTTTACTGTTGGGGGAGTGAGAAGAAGAATGAAATATGGTGGGGCATGGGATGGTGACAATAAATTCTGTAAGGTATTGAACATTCTAGTCCMGTTACTGCAGGGTATGGAGCCACATTCTGAGCTCYTSCCATGAAATGGTTTTAATATAAACMCACAATAAACTAMATTAAACTTTAAAGCTGTCMTTTCACCTGGATTATCAAAGAGGTAAATGTTACTTGTTTGTGGCTAGACAATGAATTCCTATAAAAATAACCACCCGTGACAATGGAAAGAATTACTTTCCAGTTCTACAAATGCTTTGTGAGTTTTGGGCWGCTGCTTCTGGAGAGTTCTGAAATTCTCTGGCCCTTTTTGATACCAACAGATCACATCAGAGGAGATGGGGAGCCCCTGGGGCGCCTGGAGGCTTGTGCAAAGTGAGTGCAGCTGAGGGGTCAGCTTATTGATRACTCCACCACATCTTCTGATCTTTTCTTTCTGTTTCTCCACTTCCATGTACGTGTGTAAACAGAATTAGAGCCAAAGGTCATGATCTCTCTGGGCTGGAGTCTTCAAGTTATGTTTGGGTTCTCCTGGAASAGAAGTATTAAAAGCTTCTTTGTGCATGATGTTGGCGTAAATTTGAAATTATTCATTGGGACTATTTTGCTTCATTATGAGTTTACTATGGCCTAAACGTTGACGATTTTCCTTAGGTTTTTCTGGGATTTATCTCTTTCATTTCAGTTGTAATTAACTAAAATTGGCTTTAATCTCTTTCAGGTACAGGCCCAGTGCGAGGGAGCCCCGCTCGGGGTCTGCTCATGCTGTGATGGACATAGGGCTGGTCAGTGGAATGGAAGCCAAYAGAGAGGATTTATCTACTGCAAGTATTCAAGGATTGCTTTTCTCTTACTGCCTTTATACATCAGAGCTGTGATATTTACTGTTTCCATCTTTTTCTGTGCCCTGCAGCTTGCCAATGGAGTTGATCAGTTGATAGCAGAATATGAGATAAAAGATGGGCRTGTTCTCGTGCAGATTGACTCTGTATGTTACCCTTTTCCTACCCGTAAGCACTGCTTTTACTCTTTGGAATAATTTTGCTTCCTTCAGAGCTCCTGAATTCATGTGTCTTTCAAACAGGTGCCAGCTAATCAGTTCCTGTGTGTTGGCTTCMGAGTAAGCGAGCTTTTCCGGGTTGGAATGCTAAATCCTGCTGCATTCACTGTGTATGAATATCATGCACCAGGTTGGTGGTCCAGCTCTTCACATCCTTGCTTGCCTTTCAACTCTATATTCCTCCTGAAGAAATATTTTTTTTCTTCTTTAGCAGCTTTTTAATCCATCTTATTTTAAGCACAGGTGACTTTTGACTTGCCAAGTTTCAATGTTGACTTCTTGGACTTTGATTTTCTGCATGTATTTGTTATTTCTTTCTGGATCTTCTAGATAAAAAATGCACTATCCTTTATAACCCCTATGGAAATGAGAAACTTGTGAGATTGTGTGAAGGAGATGAATGCAAATGCATGGAAGGTAAGCTTTGTTTTAACACGATTTTTCCTTTCACTTGGTGGGGAAATGCTGTGTGTGGCACTTTGAACAAAACCACACTAAACATAAGAAAAAAATCCTCATAAGAGCACAACTATTTCCACTGCAAATGTTATATTAAAAAAAAAAATAGAAAAAACCCAAGTGTGCAGTGTGGTCATGGATGTCTGACAGGATTAAGTCAAGTGTTTGAGGGCGTTATTTTCTATTTGAAATATTCACTGTTCCAGCATGCAATCCCATACTTATGGTGGTGCCCAGTTAGTGATCCCAAACTGTTAAAAATCCATTTTTTCTCTGAAGACATGTCTGACATCCTCTCACCCCTGCCTTTCCCTTTCTCCATGCAGCTGAGTGTGGTAAAGTCCAGGAGAGGCTGGGCCAGTCGGTCACTGCTGAGAGCCGCAGAGAGGCTGCCTGCCACAGGGACACTGCCTATGGTAAGGGGGAGTTCTCTGCCTGTTTGCCCTGCTCTGAAATGTTTGTTTGCTTGTTCACTGCTGCTGCAAAACACCTTGTTCAGCTTAGCCCTGGAGTGATTAGAAATTCAGTGTGATTGCAAGGCACAGAGTGATGAAGGTGATGAACTGGGGCAGAGAAAGGTCAGTTCTACGCACAGCTTCCATCAGATTTGGTGTGGGTGGAATTTTGCCTCTCTAACCATTGTATTCCCTGCCTCTCTAACCATTGTATTCCCAGAAATTAGTATTGTAAAGGTACAGAATATTCTCCTTCTGAGCATCTGTAAGATAGTTAGGATGTGTTGCAGGAACAAGGAATAACCAGATTCTGGTTTGTGTCGTTCTGCAGTTTATAAAGTGAACATCTTATCTAGCACCGAAGAAGGGTTCTTTGTGAAATATTCTGCAACTCTTSTGGATCTCTATAAAAGGGGTGAGTGTCCTGTTCTGTGTTTCTGCTTCTGGGAGAGAKGATGTTGGAATGTTCTTGGCACTCCCTGTCTTCCCTGTGGCAAAGGTGGATGCTTGTAGGTCCTGTGAAACTGAAGCTGATACTCACTCCTTTTCCCTCAGAGTTTAAGCATCCCATGGATCCTTAAAATTATTATAATATAAAATTATTTCATGTGCACAAGGCATATTTGCCATTCAGATTTAATTGAAAGGTCTTTTACAAGAGACATATTTTATATCAATTAATTTTGATGTTATAGAGTAGTGGCAAAGCAATCCCTTGGCTGTGCAGTACTGTAGAACATTTCAGTGTTTCCAACCTGAATGAAATTATCCAATTCTTGATTTATTTTTTTTTACTTCAGGGGAGGCTTTTGCTCAAAAAGATAATGAAATAACCTTTGTTAAAAAGAAGACCTGTRCAGATGTTGAATTGAACCCAGGAGAGCAGTATTTAATCATGGGAAAAGAAGCCTTAAGGATTAGCATTGGTTACAGTTTCAAGTAAGTAATTTACCACCAGAATATGCTGAGATCTATTCTTAAAGTGAAGAGTTTGTATGTAGGAATTCTTGTGTGATACAGAATTGATTTAATTGTTAAATTATTCAACCAACAGTCACACAATGTGTGRTCAGATGTGTGCACTTAAAGCAGGATTATGAGCACAAAGCAAGCACTTCCATATTGTAATTTTTTTTTTTGTTTGACATTTTCCTTCCCAAATCTTAGCAGCAAATGAACATTTTCTGTTCTCTTCTTAGATTTCAGTACCCTTTGGACTCCAGCACTTGGATTGAGTGGTGGCCTTCAGATGCAGCCTGTACATCTTGTCAGGAGTTTCTGAAAACAATGGATGATTTTGCTGAAGATCTCCTCATCARTGGCTGTTGATTCACTTGGACACTTTTCAAATTAACAATCCAGGTCAAATCTCATTGAAAAGAAGAAAAAACCTCATCTGTTTAGTAAATATTATTACTCATTAATGGTTGCCCTGAAAAATAATCCTTGCTTGTATTTTATAGCAATGTTACTACAACAGAGTAATGTTCAAATATAATTTTTAAGCTGGGATGAGAGAATAACACAGAACATTGAAGTCAGAAGAAGAGGATTGACTGTRAAAACAAACATGAAAAGTACTGTCTTGTCATTTAATCCCATGTCTTCTCAGAACATAAATATATGCAGGCACTTTGTAAGCTCTCTGAAAGAAACTTTGTTCCTTAGGTTTTCCTTTTGTACTCCTTTTTTGAATTCCTGTATTTCAGTTCTTGACAGTAAATGATGCTGGTTTTATGCTCTGCTTTCTTGTTTAAAAAAAAACCAACCAAACAAAATTCTTCAATCGTATGTGTGCCTTTCATTATTTGTGTTTCAGGACACAGTCAACTGAATCAATATCCACTGTAACTTAGGTAGATTAAAACAAACGTTTCTTTGCATTTGATGGCTGAATTTGACAGTTAAAAATCTTGCCTTGCCTCCAGGAAAGTGGCAGATGAAGGGCCAATTTTCCTGCTCACAGCTCCTGGCACAAATCAGCTTGGTTCTCAGTAAAACTGAGAAAAGAGTTTGATACAAAGTACAGTTGCACACAGATTTTATTTATATTGAAGAGCTGCCCAAAAGCAGCCCGTCCAAGAACTTTAAAATTACTGTTTTTCCTCTCTCTTAGGAATATCACAATCCAGAACATTTAAGATGTGGAAAGAAGATAGTCAGAGATGATGCAATTTTTAATTTTGGCTCTGTGAATATTTGACTTTTTTTTTAATCTACCAAACTTTCTAAGAAGTGCAAGAAGATTGCCCTGTATCCAATAATAACTGGGTATAAATTCAAATTGCAGGGAGAAGTAGACAGAAATGCTCAGTGAGGTTGTCTAGACAGGCTACCTGTTAACATTTCTACTCTGAGCTGGTAACTGTGTGTTATGAGACCTAATTATCTTTTTCAATGGCAAGGAGCATGTCTTGTTTTCACAGGTGACTTGTGACATTTAAGTTCTATTAATTTTTTGTGAGCCAGAGTGCAAAAAGGCTCCTGAGGGCCAGRAACCTGATTGAAAAATAACATATAAAAATGCTGCTCTTAAATATCAAATTGCAGTCTGTAGTTTAAAAAAGAATCTTTAATCTTATTTGTTGTGTCTCTGTTTCTATGTAGAATTAACTATTAACTGAGATTTTAGAGCTCAGAGCCATGCTAGCCTTAGTGACTCCTGAGGCACTGAACAACTCCCARGGTTAATCCCAGCAAACATGGAAATTCTTGGAATAATCACTGCTTAGGTGACTCATCTGTATTAGGAAATGGAAATTATTCCAAAACACATTCTGTCCTTCCAAGCTTGCTGTGGATTCTGGCCATCAGAGTGGTGCTTTTCTATCTGAATTGTACACTGTGTTTTTCTGTTCCTTGTTTATGTGTGTGATGTGCAAGGCTCCAAATGTTCCAGCCTTTGAATTCCCAGCCAATGCTGTGGTGCTTCCAGAAAAAATGCATTTTCCTGCCGTGCTCCCGAGGCCCAGGCAGCCTCTGCTGAGAGGTGAAAGCTCTGCCTCCATGGTAATGAAGGGCCCAGAGTGCTCCAGCYCACATTTATCCTCCTTTTTCCAAGAATACGGATGACTGACCTTGCCTGCATGGATAATCTCTGAAARCTGGACCCACCAAGGGCAATTAAAGAAGTTTGGGCATTGTACTTCTGTTCCTTTTTCATRTATTTCCCTCTGAATAAGAAAACTCAGCAGATGCCATTCGAATGTGATTCCCCCTGGATACTCTTGGCAGACCTGAGACCTGGTTAAACTCCAGAAATTATAACAAGTCTAAGGGTTAATACTGTGTTATCCTTTAGCTCTTTAAAAATATCTTTTTCTGTACATTTCCATTTGTATTTTGCTGGTTTTAGATAGCTAAACCTCACAAAATGAACTAATTTCTCTTTTCATTGCAACCAGAAATTAATCTCAATGATCCAAGCTGGTAAGTGACTTGAATAGCCCAAATTCCACCCTGTTGAGCACAGTGACACATAAAACTCACACTCAGGTCTGGGCTGAAAGCTGCTGGGCTGTGCCAGAGTGCTGTGAATAATTCAGGGACACAGCCAAAGGGTGCCTTTCTCTGGCCATTGTTCCACCAGCAGRGCAGAAGGGATTTTGTGTGTAGAACCTTTCAGGACATGCTACAAGCCCCAGGTAGCCTTAACCAGAAAAATGCTCTGTGAAAAAGAGCATTCTTTTGAATTAGGAACACCCTACAGTTTTAGAAGAGGAATGATAAATCTCTATTGCAGATTAATATMATCACTTTTAAACACCTCCACAGTGACCGTCACAATTCTTTCTTGGCTGGCCCAAACACATCTGTTAAATACCAGGTGGAAGATAAAAATGCTCCCATGAGCTGGGAGGATGCAAGTCCAAGTTACCACAGCATTTTTATTTTCTTATGATGCTGCACTCTCATCTGAAATTATCTGGAAGAGGAGAAATATTCACTTCATCCCAGCGAGTTTGTTCAGTGCATTTGGGCAATGCAAAGCCAGGTTATCCTACAAAATTATTTTCTATCTTTGCATAGCAGTGAGGATGTTCAGTGTAGGGACAGTCTCTTTTCTGAGTAAATAGGTGAAGAATCCATAGTAACATTCCTTTCAAGTTCAAATCTTTTATAATAAATGATCTCAAATACCCATTTCCACAAACATTGGAGTTGTGGGATCATCTGACAGGGGTCTGTAGGTCCATCTAGAGAAGGGGTGTGGAAGACATGAGTGAAGACATAGTAAGGAAATCCATTTCTTCTCTTAAATTATTTTTTAATTTAAAAAAAAGTCACTCTGGGAGCTGCCAATTTGGTGCTCATCCATTGTGGCTTGTCTCACTTGACCCTACCTAGAGAGATTTATTTTCAGTCCATGTAAATGTGAGTGTTTAGACATGTCTCCCTGCAAAATGTGTTCTTAATCTGCTCAATTCTGACATCAGAACACACAGAAATCTGGCATGGCTGTCAGTTATTTTCCAGTAAAACACCCACCTTATAGGAGTTACATATGCTTTCAATTTTTGGGATATTTAATAATGTTTTCATCTCTAATTAGGAGAAATATCTGGGTTTGACTCTTTTATTCTCCTGGGAGCTGCAAGTTTGGTTTTGCCAATCACTGGATCATTACAAAATTCCAGTCCTTGTGTTAAATTTTGCTTTTCAAGTTCTGAATGAACTTGGAATTTGGATWCATGTTTAAGCAGCAACCGATTTCCTGGAAAATACTAAACTGAATTAAACACCACAACTCTTATAAAAAGAACATCCAAGTCTAGAAAACAATAGCAGAGAAATCTGAGTAAAGCTTGCTATATTCAACCCTTTCTTTTCTATCCCAGGAAATATTTCTTACACGCAAGGGKTTATTTATAAAGTAGTTATATTTACCCACATTCATAGCTAGAAGTCACGAAATGCAGATTATTCCTAAGGTACTGTGGTTCAGACTATAGTTCCTTTGTTTATTTGCTACTTGACAACTGGAAAGACAATTTCTTTTACAAGTAAAGTAAACAAAAAGTTTTATTTGGCGCACTTTGAATCGGCTGAGATATTAAAACCAAAAATTGGGGTTTACAGTGGAAATTCTATTTTCTCTAAACAGCAGCAGCCCCACTGGTGCCAGTTTAAAGGACTCSTGTTTCTGCCAGGCTCTGATTAGCCAGGTTCCCTTCATTATTTATAGAAAAGCAATATGCCAGAAAAAAGTCATTTTCACTGCCTAAATCATAAGATTTTCCATTAAAACCTTCTGCCATAAGGTCCTGGAGACTATTCATCCCCAGGCTCTGACAGGGAGGTAGAAAYAGGTATTCATTTCCAGCACTAGAGYAGYTCCAAAAGTTTACAGTCATCCATCTATGTAATATTAAAAGGTKGGTTCTTTTCTAAACTTCTGTTTTGGTCAGGAAAACGAAGTAGGATCAAAAGCTTCCTATGGAACCATGAGGGATTGAATTAATCTGTGACATAATTYAGCAGGATTCCATTAATTTATAGCAGAAATTGGTGTATCTAAAACTCCATGAGCTGTGTGTCTGTTCCTTTGTTTGTGGTGATCATGCCAGTTCTGAGCTGGGGTTGGTCCCAGCCCAGARACACTTCCTTGGGCTTTGAAACAAGATATTCATGAGAAGAAAAAAGTGATAGATGTGATTTTAGAGAATCACATTTAAGAAATGCTGAGTTTCCTTCCAGTCTGTGTCTTGCCCCAAGAAAACCCAAGGCTTGTGAAGTCTTTCCACGATTTGGGACCGCTGTCCTCCACAACCACTGGGGTGAGAATCCTTCACACTCCCTCTGTTCCTGACCCTGAGCAGATGGAGCATCCCCTTCCCCAGCACTCTGTGCCTCCTTCACCAGCTCTGGCCTTTCAACACCYAGATTATGATTCAGATGTTGGACGTGGAGCTACAAGTTTTGTTTCCTTGGCCGAATCCCAAGGACGCTGCTGAGAACATGTCTGGGATGCTGAGCTTTTGGAGTCCCATCACTGCCACAGCTGCCAAGAGCTTTGGCCTCACAAGAGGACTTTTTTATTCAGGAATTTGAATCCTTACCTGCTTTCCTCTGCTCAGAACAGTCCTGTTACTCTTTATATCTGCTTTCCCCACTTCCAACTTTATTTTTTCATTCAGGCTCTTCCTATGCTTAAATTTTATTTTCCTTTCTCCTTCAAATTCCTCCTTAAAAACATCTTCATTTGTGAACATTCAGGAATTTTCCTTCTTATCATACCAATATTTTGGTGAGGACTTTTTTTTTTTTACAACCCTGATAAAGAGAATTTTGTTTCCTTTTTGTGAAATCTCAGCTAACACTTGGAATTTCTGTATTCCCTGGGTGTGTTGCCCATAAAACACAGGTACAAATAGACATGTCAGTGGTGGGGTGGAAATTACTCAGGATTGTGACTCACGCTGAAAATGCTATTGGTAAGCTGAGCCTGATGCTGTTACTCATCCTACAACAGCAAAAGGAATTATGGTCTTGGTGGAAAAGAGATGCTGGTTAGTGCAGAATCAGTCTCCTGTTTCTGTCACGTGGAAAACATCTTCCAAAAATCTTTTTATTTTTACTGTTATTAGCAAAATGAGCAATTGTTGAAAGGGTTAATGGAGATTTACCATAACCTTCACTCCCTCTCCTCAGTTCTTGTCATTTATGATATTAACAAAGACATTAAATATATTTGATGTTTCCTTTTTCTGTTGCCACTAATTAGTCCCAGTCAATCAATAGAAAATCCACATTTTCCCAGCTGGTTTAGAGTCAAAAGATACTGGATCTGAACTTGTTTTTTCATGTCACATCCAGAGCTTTGGAAGAGTGTTTTGGCAGGCTTCCCCATGGGCACAGCTCCCATTCCCAGAGTTCTCTCCCAAGCATTAAGAATGGAAATAAGCAGCTCAGAATTTTCCAGTTTAGCTCAGGCTCAGTTAAGAGAAGCAGAAGCACAACCACAAGTACAGCAAAACCTTTCATGTGGCCGGGCTGCAGCAGAGAGCTGAGYTTTAACTGGGCAAACTGGCACGGACTGGTCCATGCTGGGCTCACAAATTGCATCCCACGTTTGTTCTGGGGTGGGGGGACAATGAATGAGGCTGGAGACCACCAGAAAACTTTTCAATGTAAAGATCTGCGTGGTTTCCTAAACTCTGGCAGCCTCAGAAACCTCTTCATGATTTACTCTGAAATACTCTTGCTTTTAGGAAGCCATCAGGGCCACTGTGACAGAGAAAAACACTTTCATTTTCTCTCTCCTCTTCAGGGTGATGCCTTGGCTTGGCTTGTGGAAACTGCTGAAATAATACACAGATATACATAAATTTATTTATCTAGTGTCTATTTATGGGTGCTTTTCTCCTGTCAAAAGCTGAAGAGGTGCTCCAGAGCATCTGTTCTTTGAGGGAAAAGATTCCTAGGAAGCTGAGGATAATACTGTCTTACAGAGAATATGATCTGGGAAAAATCTGGAGGCCGAGCAGGGATGAAGAAAATCAAATTGATTCCTGATGTGTCTTTGAGGATTCCAGTCCAGCTCTTATGCAACTTAGTGAGAAGCATTCCTTCTCTTGTCATGAGAGCTGGGCTGGTCCTCAGGGTATCACCATAACAAAGCACAGCTACAACTGGTAGTCAGCTGAAAAACAAAAAACAAACTGAAATGTGTAAGAAGATTTTATTAGAGACGAGACATTGAATTGTGGCAAAGCTGTCAAGTTTGCTGAGGATAACAATGCATCAAATGTAATGGTTCTTTTTTTAATCTTGAACTGATGAAATCTCACAGACACTCTGATTCAGAAAATAAGTCATGGTGTAGAACAGAAYTCCTTCATATCAGAGCTCTGAACAGGCAGGAATCTTGACTTGAAACACTCAGCTCCAGTTCCTAGAAGCACTGAATCTCCTGAGGACTGGATTTGCTTTTACTAGCAAATTTTCCTTCCTCTGTTTTACCCAATTTTCAGGTTATCCTAGAAAAAGTGCACATTTTCAGTTCATTTATACTAATTGAAAATTATGTTTTCATAGAATGAGCCATCCCTATCTTAAACACATCTCTGAAATACAGTTCTCATTTTGAGTACAGTCTGTAAAACCCACAGCATCTGAGCCTAAATTCCATTTTAAATGTCCTATGAAATCTGTTGCATTAAAAGTCTCAAGACCTTGGCTTATTTTTAAAAGGTAATATTAAATAAAGGTAATATTAAAGATATTAATATATTCCCTTATGCACTTTTTCCCTGAGAAGTAAAATGGTTATTCCCCTTAAATAGTAACACAGTGCCCTGCAATGCTGAGTGCTGGTGGAATGRCTCTACAGTAAAATAAAGCTTTAAGTTTTAATCTCTCTCTGAGCCACATCCTGTTTTCAGTTAACTGATCTCATATGGGGGAAATCTGCCACAGGAAATCTCTCTACTTTGGAAAGTACCAAAACCTTATCTTTAGTTTCTTTGTGTAATCCAGCACCTTTGAAGACAGAGGTGTAATAGAAGCACAGAGGCTTTCAARTCTCAAAACACGAGAAAAGGAGTGAGTTAAGGGCACGGGGAAGAGGTGGAGCTGCCACTTCATCCCTAAACCTGCCCCTGTGTAACACATTCTAAAATTAACATCTTACAACTCTTTATATCCCCAAAGTTTTAAAAAAATTGCATAAAAATACCTTTTAAAATCTCTTTCAGAAATCAGCTTACATCCTGGAAGAGACTGGTGATGGATTTTACCAACCCAAATGAAATGGCTCAGGTTGAGGACTGACTGGGTTGGATCACACTTCCATCACAGACTGATTACGATGGCTCTGAACTCCATCAGATCAGCCCCAGGGWTGTGCTGCAGACCAGCACAGGGAGGAGAAAAGTGGAACTGAAGCGTGTGTGGTGTCTGGAACAGGAAGGTGCCAGATTTCAGGCGAGAACCGTGGCCCCCAGAACACCTTCCACACCCTCACAGGTACCTGCAGCTGCTGGMTCCGGCCAGTGCAGCAACCAACAACCCGCTGAAACACCGAGAGAAACACTTTTTATTGTGAATTCTGAGCAGGGACTCGCCCCCAGGGATATTCCCCACGAGGAAGAGTGAACTGATTTGCATGCACAACTCTTTTTCTGACTGGATSCTCTGTCAGAGCCTAGACTGGCAACAAAGTGAGCTGTGTCATGGGTTCAGAGGGCTTTYTGCTGATAGTGAAACTTCCCTTTGTAGAATCTTTTGTGCACTCTAAGAAGGCTTTGCAGACATTACTGAACTCCTGTGTTACCCTCTTGTGCAACCTCCGAGCTGCGTTGGAGGGTGAGGCACAGCGGGGCTGCCCCCGCCAGGTTTCCCGGAGGTTCCGGGGGCAGTCGGGGCTCCTGTMCGGGATTTGGGGCCGGGGGGAGTGCAGGGGAACTTGGCGCTGTGCCCGCGCTCCGGGCAGGCAGGACTTTCTGTCTGAATGCCCGGGTCACCATGTCATCCACCGCATCACGCCGCTTTCAGGAACCGGCCGCCAGATTCTCCATTTCAGCTGGCCCGGGGGAATTTGCTCCGCGGGGTCTTTCCTCAGTCGATTCCCGAGACAGCGCCGGTCCCCCGGGCAGGGGAAGCCCCGCTGCCGCCGGCCCCGGGGCGCGGTTCGGGCTCCCCGCTCCTCCCGGCCGGAGCGAGGCAGCATCGCCAAAATCCAGCCCAGAACTGCAGCTCCGGTACCCGCGGTGAGCGCCCGCCCGGGCTCAGGTACCGGAGAGGCGGGGATGGACGGAGGGATGGATGGAAGGAGGAATGGATGGAGGGAGGAATGGATGGATGGAGGGATGGAGGGATGGAGGGATGGAGGGGAGCAATCACCGCCGCAGCCTCCCTCCTCCCGCTGCCGGGAACCGAACCGCCCGCGGCCCCCAAACCCACGGGCCCGCTGCCCGAACCGCTCCCTGCAGCACCCGGAGGGCAGGGGGTTCTCCCGGGGGTCCTGGGCACTCTCCGCCCCGCTGAGCCGGGATGGGGAGCAGGGATCCCCGAGGCCGGGCCGGGGCTGTGGCCAGCGGGAGCCTGGGCTGGGCCAGCGGGGCCGGGGGCGATGGGAGCGGGGGCGGATCATCTGTCCCGACCCCTTCGGCACCCACCCGCCCCTCCTCCGGCCCGATCCCATCGCGTTTGTGGGGCCGGGGTGAGCTGAAGGCTCTGGCTGTTCGGGCGGTCCCCGCGGTCATCGCTGCGCTCCCGCTCGGATGCTCGCAGRGGGAATTGGCTGGGGCAGGCCATGGAAACGCTGCTCGTTCCCAGAATGTGCCCTGCCCACCCTTCGGCAGTCACAGCGCCAGCCCGGCCTGCCCACGGCAGCCTCCGTTCATTTACTTTCAGATTTCTTAGTCAGTGTGACTATTGGTGGTACTGAGCWAGGTTATGGTGTGTCAGCATTGTTATTTATAAAGGCATTATTATGATCAAACAGCATCAGGTCCCTGGATAAAAACCTTCCCTGATCTTTGCAAAAGACACCAGAATCTGTTTTGGCTGCATTTCCAAAAATATCCCACTGCACATCTCCTGTTAACCAAACTGACTGTGCATGACACCTTGGCTCGTGTGGCTCTAGGTGTGCCTGGAAAAAGCACAGCATTAAGGACTTGTGGATTTGGGATTTCCTTTGTTATTTCACTACAAGTTTCATGACTTCAGGAAAATCACTGTCAACACACCAGCTGCTCAGATTCTGTGTCTATGAAGTAAAATCATGAATTTTGGCTGCTGAGAAATGACTGTGGTTGGGGACTGAYGGGCCTGTAGCTCATCTTCCTACAAGCTAAAAACTCTCAAAAGAAAACCCCAAACCCCCCATTTGAGAACACTGTCTATTTTTGTGTTGTGTTTGAGGGAAATTTTCAAGGTGCACAGTAATTTCCTGCTGGTGCCAGGTCAGACCCCCTGTGACATTTGGTCACGCCTGTCACCGCAGACCGAGTTAAACTCAGCTCAGAGTTCAGAGCTGCTCTAGGGTTTTGAGACACCTCTGACATCAAAATCAGTGTGTGCCTTGGATTTTTCCTCCTTCCTGATARCAGATGGCTGACAACACCCCCAGGAGCCTGCAGGACCCTCCCAGCTCCTCTCCCGGTGAAAACGAGTTCCCTTTCGGATACCCCACCAACATTTGCGACGATGTGCCTGGTCAGAAATTCCTGTGCAGCAACTGCAACAACATCCTGAAGAAAGCGCTGCAAACTCTGTGTGGGCATCGGTACTGCTCTGCCTGCCTGGCCTGGATTGTTCGGTACGTCCTGCTCAGATTGTGCTCGGGGCATTTATAGGGCTGAGTACATCCTGCTCAGACTGTGCTCGGGGTATTTGTAGGGCTGAGTACATCCTGCTCAGATTGTCCTGCTCAGATTGTGCTCAGGGAATTTGTAGGGCTGAGTACGTCCTGCTCAGATTGTCCTGCTCAGACTGTGCTCGGGGAATTTGTAGGGCTGAGTATATCCTGCTCAGATTGTGCTCGGGGCATTTGATTGCTGAGCCCTTGGCTGCAGCAATTCTGAAAGTTGGGCTGTGCTGCTGAGCTCAGGGACCGGTCTGTTGTGGGGAAAAAAGTGGCCACACAAGCCCTGATTCTGCAACTCAGCCAATTATTGTGTATGACTGAGTCTTAGGAAGAGAAAGGGAGTGTTAACAGGAATGCCACATCCTTGGCTACTGTTGAGAAAAGGAGATTGGAATGTAGAATTGATAACGCAGGTGGCTGGAAATTATAAACATTACTAATACTGTAGCTTTTGCAAACTCACCAATTATGTTCTGATTCCTAATTAAACAGCTGTCTCTTAACCAATATATGTTTGACACAAATGTATGCTCTGGTTGCTAAAGTGGATAAAAGAAGCTTGTCCCGCAATAAAGTTCTTCCTTCTTTCTTTTTTTTTTTTTTCACCCACTTTTTGTGTGTTTTTTATCTATTATTTTATGTCGCTGTTTGGCCAGCAGTGACAGTCTGTGGCTCTCTGGCCCGCTGGCATTTTCCTGTCTGGAAGGATTTGCTGTGGTGGATGCAGGATGTTCTCTGCCTCCTCCTTGTTTCCACCATGGAAGTCTATGGGGCCTGACAGATTCAGGTTTTTTTTATCTGGGATGTAATAATTCTGATTTAACCTTGAAAAAATGGTCCAAGGCTCATTTAATTCTTCCATGGGACTTTACTGTCYTTTGATAAGGGATGGTACAGGATTTTAGTGAACATTATATCTTATATGYCCAAATCTGTCTGGGCAAAATGGGCGTTCTCTGTGCTTTAAAATAGTTTAGTTTTCACATTATCTTTCTTACTTGGAGTTTTGGCATAATTCATGAGATAAACAGCTTTCCATCTTTATTCCTATTTATGGCCCAGGCTGCATTTATTTTACTGAAATACAGATAAGATTAATGGCAATAGTCCTGGTCCTCAAAAACAGAAGAGCAAAGCTTTTTTGACATCAGTGTGTTCAAGAATTGGCTCTTTCATGAACAAGGGCAGTGGATTCTGAGTAGAAATTACAATTTCTGTGATTTTATTTGTGTCTGTACCTACACAAAGACCTCCTAAACTGCAATACACCAATGGATTGTTATTTAATTCTTCTTTCTCTTTGCCAGAAACAATAAAAATGCAATTTGCCAGAAATGTAAAGAGGAAGATCCCAACACTTTAAGTGAGGAAAGCCTATTGGCAGAAGAAAGGGTAAGTTATAGTTCACGGGTCATTAATTTATCACAAACCATTCTCTGCAGTCATCACTGGACCAGAGTTCAGAAGGGAATAATATAAAATGCAATATAGTTACACATTTTAGCTTGGGCTTTAATAACTTGGATTTCCCAGAGTTTTTGATTTTAAAAAGCGTAATGGCAGCCTGAGGACTTTCCAAACCAGGTTCTGCAATGCAAAATCCCAAATTCTTCCATRTGATTAACTTTTTATTGTCTCAAAGTAACTGCTGCTCTCCTACTTGTAATGATATGTCTCAACTGTTACTTACTACCCTTAGGAAATATTTAAATGGATTTTCCAACCTCATGGTTTCTTGTACACTTCAAACATGAAGCTGAACATAACCATTGATAGAAATKATGCACTGGCAAAGGTTTCATCAGGAATTTAATGGTGCAAAGAAGAAAATMTCTTCTKGTGTGATTTTCCAGGCAAATTGCTGTGCTGTTCTCCATCCCAAATACAAACWGGGCCATAAAGCCCTGTCCCAGATTGTCTTTTCCCCTCCTCTCTGATCACATGCAGGGATATCAACAGACACACCATTTGTCTAAATWTTTTAGGGAAAAATGGAAACAATYAKGCAGCTGASAGTGGCATAAAAGCCAAAATTTAGRAAGTGGCTGCAGCAAAATAATAGATCTGCTGTTAATGCTGAACTTGGGAATATCCCAGAAAAAAAATCCTCAATTCTGCAATAAATTTCCCAATAACAGATTTCATTCACAAGTAGGTGCAGCTGAACCCTTATGAACTCATTCTGCTTTGACTGTCAGTTTAGGATTTCTCTGCTGTGGGCAGAAATCCCTCTCAGTTTGGATTTCTCTGCTGTGGGCAGAAATCCCTCTCAGTTTGGGATTTCTCTGCTGTGGGCAGAATTCCCTCTCAATTTTGGATTTCTCTGTATGGGCAGNCTCTGCTGTGGGCAGAAATCCCTCTCAGTTTGGGATTTCTCTGCTGTGGGCAGAAATCCCTCTCAGTTTGGGATTTCTCTGCTGTGGGCAGAAATTCCTCTCAATTTGGGATTTCTCTGTATGGGCAGAAATCCCTCTCAATTTGGGATTTCTCTGCTGTGGGATTCTCCCCGAGTTTGCTGGGAATTTCTGTGAATTTCTGTAAATTGGCTGTAAACAGACCCCAAACTCTGCTGTGCCTGGCAGATTCTTTTTCCTCCTGGGTGTCCAGAAAGGGAGGAGGATCTGCCTCTGTAGATCATTTCCAACAAATGCTGGGTAGATTTTCAGGAACTTTATTGAATTTTGGGCATCGTTTATAAATACTTTCCTCCCCTTTGTAAAGCTTTCCCCTCCCAGTTTTTGCTCTGTGTTATTCCATGGGAAATCTGCATTTCTCTGCACTTCACTCACCTCCAGAGTATCCCAAAAAATGCCTTCACTTGGCATGGCTGCTTCTCATGTCAGGGTAGCTATTTTAATGCAAAATATAATATTTAAGTGTGCAGAATTTAATAATTAAATAATAATTGTGCAATTCTTCATGTTTARCATAATACAAAAATCTACATAGAGCAAAACCCAAAGCCCTCTTCCATCTGGTTGATATTTTTTTAGCACTCRGTGTCTGTTAAATGGAAACAGCCCAGATCTGAGTGAGCAGTGGATGCAGAACACTCCCAAATCCTCTCTGCAGCACTTTAGGAGGTGTTAATGACCTCGATAATGAAATGCATTCATTAAGGGACCCCACAGTCAGGGTCCTGTCAGCACATTCGCTGCATGTGAAATATTTCTGTGAAAAGAAATGTGAAATAAGAGCTGTAGTTTATTTTCAGTGAATTAATGTCACATCAGATTATTTTTGAATGCTAAGAAATACATGATTTMATAATTATTTGGACTTCTATCACGCTAAGATTAACTGCCAGGTCACAGAGTCGTACACAGTAAATTTAAAAAAAATAAAGAATTTATCAAGATGTGGATTGCTGCCACCCTTTTCCTATTCCAAGGATGCATGCTCCAGTACTTTCTCACCAAATTTTTTTTCTTTACTGTGTTTTCTTTCCAGGCTTTTGGTGATGCTGCCATTAATAAAGAAATTTCTGAGCTCCGAGTGCACTGTGTGACCCTTGGATGCAGCTGGTCTGGTATCATGAAAGATTTTGAAGTATGTTTAGAGAGAATTTATTCAGATTAATGTGGATTTAACTCCTTACTGGAGTGGGTCAGAGAGAGAATGGAACCAGGAATATTGGGCAGATGCCTCATGTTTGAATTTACCAAAAGCTGTTTGGTTTTGGGATTTTTCTAAATTAATAATTAACGAAAAAAAAAAAAAATCCCAGTTAAACTGGTGATTTTTTCACCACTAATCTCAGTAACTTTGAGCAGTGGGACTTTACCCAAGCTTAGAAGAAATGCAGGTCAGAGCTCTGAGCTACCAAACACAGATTATTTATAGACAAACGTGAATCAGCACTTTTACAGCTTACTTTATAACTTTTGACTTCCAGGAGCACCAGAGTTTGTGTGAATTTGCTTTGATCCCGTGTCACACGGGCTGTGGACATGTGGTGATGAGGAGGAAGCTGGCAGATCACTTGGAAAATGGATGTGTCAACAACGTGACCGTGTGTCAGCWGTGCCAGTGCAGCTTGGCCAGCTCTGAGTACCAGGTAAGAACATTCCTCTCTCAAATWAAGGATTTGTGTTCATGGTTTCAATCAGCTGTGATGCCATTTTTTCCATCCTGGTTTCATTGAGCTCGGAGAATATTAAATTTTCCTGAGTTTGATCGTTTTTCCACCCGTGTGTTGGAGGGAAAGGTGGATGTGACAATCTGCTGGGGATGTGACAAAGCTGCCCTGAGCTGGGGCAGAGCTTTTCCCAATATGAGATAAAAGAGAAGCAAAAAAGCACAGAAATGGCAGGGAAGGGATYCTGAAAATGACTGGAGTTTATTCAAAGTAAAACCACCCACAAATGTGTAAGGCAAGGTTCTATCAGATATTATTTCTGGGATAAATCTCCAAATCATCAGCAGTGTCCATAGAATGGGAAGATCTTCCCCTGAATGTGGCAGAGAAGAATCTGGAGGCAGGCACATCTCCCCAGCCCGGTGTTCCCAGGATYTGAGTTTTGAGCTCTGCTCTCTCTTCCTCTCTTCATCTTATTCATTCACTTACAGGTCTTGTGATTTTGCGTTTCTCTATTTTTAAATAAACTCCTCTCCAGTCCCTCTCCCCCTCAAGGAATTGGTGATCTGAAGGAGTAAAAGAGCAGAAATGAGTAAGGTAAAGGCATATTTTGTTCGATGGCAAGAAAGTGTTAAAAACTGGGTTAGAGAGTGAGGAAAAACCCCTGGCTGCTTTTCTGAGAATCGAAAGGGAAACCTCAGAASTGATATGCAAAGGAGTTTATAAAGATTAAAGCCACCCCCTCTGAAGAGTGTGAATGGAAAGCTGACAGTTGCTGYGTTAAATACAGATATTTCAGTGGCAGGGGGATCACTTTACCMTTCCTGGAGGCAGAAATGGCAGGAAGCCTCCTGGGAGTGCTGGTGCATTTTGCATTAGCACATGGTGATGGAAAATTTGGATTCCAGCCTCCAAAATATTCACAAAGCAGGATGCAAGGAGGGTCTGCACACTGAGCAAACTGCATGGAGTCAGTGCTAGAGGAGTTTATATTATAATTATATTTAAATTTGAATTTATGTTGGAGTTTCCTGTGCTGYAACCTGTTTATATTCATATATATCTGTGTATATATTTAAATTTCCTGCTCTGCTGGTCATCRTTGCTTCCTGTCCTGTAACAAACCTGCTTGTCATTGCATATATGTGAATGTACATGTATGTGGGTGTGCATGTATGTGTGTGTTCAAACGTGTGAATATACATATATGTGAGTGTCCATGCATGTGAATATACATACATGTGAGTGTACATACATGTGAGTGCACATTTTTCTGAGTTTGCACATAATTTTGGTTTTCATCTGGCAACACTCACACATTGCCAATCCTTCATCCAAAATCCCAGGGTATAATGAAATGAGGAACTGAATTTTTTCTTTCTTGTTTTAATGGCAGGAACATTCATGTGGAGGCAGTTTGGGTAAGGAACAAAAACCTGCACCAACAGAAACAGCATTGAAAGAAAAGGTGGGTGAAAGATGAGTGAGTGCAATGCTTTATTTTAATTAATAAAATTATCACTTGTTTAGATTAAATGGATGCCTGAGAATATCTTCAGATCCAGCAGTTGGGTCTGGGTGCTCTTTACATCCCAATGAAGTTCTGCTGACAGCCTTCTCTTCCCTGCTCCCACAATTACCTTCATTAAGTTATCTTCTCAATTAATCCTGTAAAATTGGCAAATATTTGTTTAATCTCGTGTAATGAGAGCCACATGAGCAAGAGCAGTGTGCTGTACAGCAGTGTATTTAAAGTGTTTTATTTATGAGAATTTCTCACTTTGTGATCCCTGTGGTCTGTTAAATTCTGTTCTGTCATTATGGGGTCTCTTAGATGGACACTTCACTGCCAGGCTGTGTGCAGGAAAATTGCAATTAACCACACTCTTAATTGATTTACCATCAATTTCCAGAGCTGGTTGGACACCAGAAACTGTGGAGAGATCTTGATTTGAATTAATCTGATTTACAGCTGCTGGGTTTGTGGCTTGAGTGTTTGCAGGGAAATAAAAGAATCCCTTTCAATTGGTGTTTGATTATTTCCTCTGCATTTTTTATTTTTTCAACAGAGCCACTCTACATCCTCAGCCAGCAAGGATGGATGTCGTTTTTCTGAAGTTGGCTGTTCATTTAGGGTGAGTAAACAGGGGAATGTTCCACTCTGGGATGGATATTCACTTCAGGGCAGTGTCTCTTAAAACAGAATCAGCTCCTGGCAGTTTTTCCATCCCACGAGCTGCAGAATTGCTGGGTTTGGSCCCAGCTGACTGATCTGGGGACAGAGGGGACGTTGACAGTGCTGTCTCCTTCCAGGGAAGCCAAGAGAAGATAAAGGAGCAYGAAAAATCAGCACTGGGGACCCACATGCTGCTCCTGCTGCAGCACATGAGGCAGCTGAAGGGAACTTTGTGCTCTGCTGCTCGTGGCTTCACCCCAAAACCAGAGCTGGACTTGAACCAGCCAGGGAAAAGCATCTCTGAGCTGCAGATCCCAGCAGGGCTGGAAATCAGCACARACCCAGAGCTGGACTCTTATCCTGGATCTTCTGTGCCTGAAGATGAGCCTGTCCTGCACCAGCTCGTGAGGGAGAAAGTGATTGCTGAGCTGGAAAATAAACTGCACGTGTTTGAGAACATTGTGGCAGTGCTCAACAAGGAGGTGGAGAGCTCCAACATGGAAATCCTGGCCTTCAGGAGACAGAGCGAGCTGGATCAGAACATGATCCGAGGCCTTGAGCTGAAGGTGAGGAGTTACAGCCAGAATTTGTGGGTGATTTTTTTACAGATAACAAATAATGACAGGGCAGGGATCAGGACTGCGAGTTGGAGCTGTGAACTGCTCCGTTCTGGACACATCTTCAGGATCCTTTTGTTGCTTTGACTCACTTTCAACTGGGGATCTCTAATATTTGCTTTCTAAACCCACATTTAGGCAGTGAGAAACTCCTGAGAGTTGTGACTTTTCAGAGCTTTCAACTCCTGAGAGTTGTGACTCTTCAGAGCTCTCCATGCTCAGACTCTGAGCAAGCAGGAGAATTGCCTGGAGTTTTGCCTGGAGGCACAAACAACATCTCTGTTGTTTTGACACGCAGATGTCACTCAGAAAAAAATCAAAGGAGAACTCCTAGAGCATGGAATTCCAGAAGGATGGAGCCTGTCCTGCAGCACAGCCTGGCTGGGCAGGGCTGACTGAGGGATGGTTTTGGTTTTGTTGCAGATTGCAGAGCTGCACCGCTGCCTGACCCAGAAGGATGCAGGGCTGAGCAGCCTGCACAAGAGCCTGCTGTTCTCGGAGCAAGCCTCCTACGATGGCATCTTCCTCTGGAAAATCACTGATGTGGGCAGGAAACTGCAGGAYTCGGTCACTGGCAGGACAGTGGGGCTGTACTCCCCAGGTAAAGCACGGGATGGAGGTGTTTTCACCATCCCAAATCCTTCAGAACGGAGCTCATTGCCCCAGAACTCTGCTGCTTTCTGCTCGTGCCAGCAGGAGGGACTTCAAAACAGCTTTTTCCAGTGCTTTTAATGCAGAGAGCTGTAAGCTGTGCTTTTCCAGAGTTCTGCTCTGCTCTGGGATTTGTTCACCCAGCCCTCCTCACCCACAGCTCCAGCTCGGACAGTTCCCATGTGGGAAGTAATTGGATTAGGAAAAATAATGCTTGTGTGGCTAATAACAGGTCATTTGCACAAAGTTTGAGGCATTAAAAGGATTCCAGCCACTGGATTTTCATTCCTTGTAATCTCCAGGGGGGTCAGGTTTGTCTGTTCTCCTCTCTGTGACAGCAAACCCCATCTCACATTACCTTTTCCCATTATGCCAGAATTATATAAATTTTTTTCCCCAAAAGGAGGCTCTACTAATGAAAAGCTCTGATTTTCAGCTTTCTACACTGCCAAATATGGCTACAAGGTGTGTCTGAGGGTGTACCTGAACGGGGATGGCACGGGCAAAGGGACACACATGTCCCTGTTCTTCGTTGTCATGAAAGGAGACTACGACGCTTTGCTGCCGTGGCCTTTCAGGCACAAGGTAAGAAAGGATCTGATYTGTGTCTGATCCCAGCCTAAATTCAACACCAGGTGATATTTTCCCTGCAGTTTTGTGGCTGTTGGAGTTTTCCCATGTCTCTCTCCCAAGGTGAGGAGCCATCCTGTAATCCTGGCTCAGGGTTTGTCTGTGCCTGGAGTCCCTCACTGATCATTCCCTGCTTTGCCAGGMAGGATTTTCAGACACCAGAATGTGATGTTTGGGTTATTCCAGACACACATTTTTTCTCCTGGCTCTTGCTAAACATAGATAATATCAATTTATGAGGAAATTATGATTTGCTGCCTGAAGGCATCAAAAGGTGAGGTGAGAGTTTCACTTACAAAAGTGCCACTGATGTAATCCTGGTTTTATTTTCTCTCCTCAGTGTGGTCTGATAATGGCAATAATGATTAGAAAAGCAGTGAAACCATGGCAGGGCCTGATCTCTGCTCTGGCACTTGCCTTTGTGGGGCAATAATTCCGTGAGCTTTTCCTATAAATAGCTTTACCACCAGTTTGCAGCCAAAAAAAGTAGAAATCAAAGCTCCTGATCCTCTCTGTATTAAAAGATTGTTACAGACATTTCATTTTTCAAGCTAAAGAACAGTGAGTTAATAAAGTGGGTAATGAGGTGGGGAGATTCTATACTAATATTTAAGTTGTGTCTTTTACATATTTGTGCAGGGCAGCTGAGCAATTTCTTCTGATTCCAAACCACAATAACAGAATAAATGTAACGACTTTAACCAGACCTGGGGGCTGTTCAGGCTGTCAGGAGAGAGAGGAGAAAAAGTCTTTGGATTGTACAGTTCTCTACCAATAAATAATTCTTTACTTGATTTAATTTAATTTTGTTTTAAGGGAGCAAAGTTTTAAAAACTTCATCTGGGAGTTTGCATGAACTGACCCTGCAGGTCGGAAACATTTGTTACAGTTGGATTTAATTTCCAGTGGAGCATCCAGCTGCTTTTGCAGCACTTCTGTCCCTGCTTGGTTTATTTTTCACTCCAGTAATTCCTCATTGCCACGTTCTGTTTTTCAGGTGACGTTTATGTTGCTTGACCAAAATAACAGGGAACACATAATTGATGCTTTTCGTCCAGACCTGACTTCTGCTTCGTTCCAGAGGCCGGTGAATGACATGAACGTGGCCAGTGGCTGCCCCATGTTCCTCCCCTTGGCCAAATTGCAGTCCCCCAAACACGCCTACGTGAAAGAGGACACGCTTTTCCTTAAATGCATCATAGAAACMAATTAGCAAATCCTGAAATACCGTTGTGTGGGAAGCCACCTGCTGAACGCCAAGAGTTTATGAGGAAAAAAAAGCATCAGTTTGAGAGTTTGTGTTAGTTTTTGTGTGCCCCAAAAATCTGCAGAGGTTGAGCCTGCACCCCTGAGTCCACCCCATCGCCTGGAGATGCTCCTGTGCAGCTGCTGGAATGGGATGATTTCACCAAAACAGACAATTCTCGTTTTCGAGGGGTGGATCCCAGTCACCCCCCACCCCACAATGATGGGGAAGGGCTGTTCTTCCTCGCACTGGCCCCGGGTGTGGGTGTGCTGGAAGGGAATGAGGATGAATTCACTGCCCTGGGGTGGGCAGGTTTATGGGGTGCCAGGTGAGGCCGAATTCCCTGTTCTGGGATGTGCAGGTTTGTGGGGAATGAGGCTGAATTCCCTTCTCTGGAGTGTGCAGATCTGTGGGGAATGAGGCTGAATTCCCTTCCCTGGGGTGGGCAGGTTTAGGGAATGAGGCTGAATTCCCTATTCTGGGGTGTATAGGTTTGCAGGGAATAAGGCTGAATTCCCGTCCCTGGAATGTGCAGGTTTATGGGGTGCCAGAGGCTGAATTCCCTTCCCTGGGTGGGCAGGTTTGTGGGGAATGAGGCTGAATTCTCTACCCTGAGATGGATATATTCACAAGGAATGAGGCTGAATTCCTCTCTCTGGGATGTGCAGGTTTTTGGGGTGCCAGGTGATGCTCAATTCCCTTCACTGGATGTGCAGGGTCTCAGGGAATGAGGCTGAATTCCCTTCCCTGGACAGTCAGGTTTATGGGATGCCAATTGAGGCTGAATTCCCGTCCCTGGAATGTGCAGGTTTTTGGGATGCAGTTGAGGCTTTTCCCCACCCTCGGACAGCCCTGCAGTGAGTTCAGCTCCCCTCCCCAGCACTGGGACTGATTTCCCGCAGCCCTCGCTGGGATTTTGGCCGCTCCCCAGCATCAACAAGGACAGATTCCTCACCCCGAGCCCGGATCAGGTGTCTGCCTGWGCTTCCCATGACCTTGGGAGCCGTGGCCGGCGCTGGCAGCCTCACTCCCTTCCCCCAGGGATTTCTTTTCACTCTTTATTTCAGATTTCTATTTTTGTGCTTTGTCAGGAGATGTTGAACTGCAGCAGCAGACAGGGACCAGGTTAGGCTGTTCCTCGTGGGAATCACCTCTTGGATTTCCTAAATAAATATAAATATAAAWAAAGGAGCTGCTGGATTTTCCCATTGCAAAAACAGAGCCCTGGGAAGGTCAGAGCTCTGCCCCAGGCAGGGTTAGAACCCCTTACTAATTTGCTTTGGTCACTTCCTGAACCTTCAAGGCTGGTGATTTATTCAAAATTATTGATTTTCTTCTTGCTGAATTCCTTCTGTGTGCTCTGATGTTTAAGTTTTTTCATCACGCTAAGATAAAAATAATTGCTAGAAATTGTTTTGTTCTTTTTGATTTTTCTAATAGAGGTAAGGAATGAACAATTTTTTTAAAACCAAGACAGGCTTGGGACTGTCTGCATGTGTGCAAAATCTCTCGCTTTTATCTTGGCAACAGCCTTTAAAATAATTAGTTGTGATAAAGCTTCAAATTTCAAAAGCACCCGTCCCCTAAACAAATATTTATCAAAGCTTGTTGGGAAAGAAACTGGATATTCTTTGTGTCTTTTCCTCTATTCCATCTTTCAAATGCCCTTTCAGGATCAGAAAGTTATTTTTCCAACCACTGTCACCACACTGGAGTAATTTACCTGAATATATTATGCTTTTCCTGGCTGTATCATTTTGAGAAATGCTGTATTTATTACAATCAATCATATTTTCTTACAATTTTATTTATTTCCTAAATAAAGCTTGCTAACTTAAGAAAACTTTGGGTGTTCACTGTCAAGTAGGGGACTGAGTTTGGAGATGTGATGATGGGATTTTGTTACAGAAACAGCTGAGCTGTGCTGCGACACTTTCGTTCTTTGCTTTTTTCTTTTTTTCTGGGGAAGAAAGGTCCCTTTGGAGCCGCATTCAGGAGCTGCAGAAATGCCCAAAACATCTCAGTGTCCATTCCCTCCAACCTGCCCTGCTGGGAGAGCACTTACAGGCTCTACACACAGACAGCTCAATTAAAAAAAATGACAGATATGGATCAAACCCATGATAAATAAACAAACAGACACAAAACCCAGTGCCGGTGCTTCTCCATTGAAAGGCACAGCGGACAGATGGAATTGGAGGCATATCAAGCGCTCTCTGATCCAGCAAATCACTTCTGCTTGGGGTTTTCTTTATTTTTTAATTTTTTTTTTTTTTTTATTTTTTTTTCCCCAGATCAAATAACACGATTAAAAATAAATAAATAAATAAATAAAAAAATCAAGGAGAATTTTAGCGAGTTAAATCAGCATCATTTGCTCCGTGTTTAATGGTCAGGTTGGCAAGAAGTGAAAATGTTCCTGCAGCTGCGATGGACTGAAATGATCAAGGATAAGTTTTGGGGGGGAAAACTATATTTATTTTAAATGGAGGCAAATTTTAGGCTCCTAAACCCTTGATCGGGATAGGAAGAGAACTCAAACCTTGCACAAAGTGGCTTAAATTGGTGATGTTGTTCAGTCAGATGATTTCAGGTGGTTGAGACCCTCAGAACAGAGGGATGAGAACGGGAAAGAGCAACTTGTGGGAGCTGCTTCTCTTTTCAGGGATGTGTCCTGTGGAACCTGGAATGGGAAACTGGGAGCTGTTCCTGCAGCTCTGATCTCCAGTCAGGCCTGGARCTCACAGGCAGCCTCGTGTTTGGGTTTCCATTCAATATCCCTGCGCTTCGGTCTCCAAGGCTACACGCCAACATCCAACCCCTCCTCCTCCCGCTGCTGTTTTCAAAGAAAGAAAAACACTGTGAAAAGAGGCTGCAACGATTTCTGGGCACTTTTCAAAGCACWGAGGCAGCGCTGGGAGCTGCTCTCCCTGCACGCTCTGTGGGCTCTGATCCAGCCTGGGCTGCTCTATCCTCCCCACCTCGGCAAGTGCAGGGCACGGGGGAGCAGTTGTAAGTTTTTAAGGCAAAAATAGGAGTTTTGGAGTGAGACTTCATTCAAATCCTTCTGCAAAAGCTGTTTTTGTTCAGGAATTCCTTGGTGGGGAAGGAGCAGGGAGTCCTGCCCTGGAACCTGTGCTGGCCCTGGCTGAGGAGGGTGGGGGATTGCTGCCCTCAGTTTGCACCATTTTGGGGGCTGCCACCCATTTCTGTTCCCTTTTCACGACCTCGTGCTCCAGC